CAATCAAAAGTGCATTACCTGAATGCTACAGAAGGTTTTACCCAAATGTACGATGCATAATAGACTGCACAGAAGTTTTGTTAGAAACACCATCAAGTTTAGAAGTTCAAGCTAAATGCTGGTCCGATTATAAGCAACACTGTACAGTAAAATTTCTTGTTGCAATTACACCAAATGGTATGTTTTCATATGTTTCTTCCGTTTATGGAGGAAGAGCAAGTGACCAGTTTATTGTAAAAGACATTTTTACAATCTTATAGAACCCTATGATCAAGTTATGGCTGACAGGGGTTTCAAAATTAAGGAGGACCTTATGATGTTGATGGCTAAACTTGCTATTCAACCCAGTACAACTGGAAAATTGCAGATGCAAGCATCAGATGTATCAGAAACTTCAAAAATTGCAAATGTAAGAATTTATGTTGAACAAGCTATTGGCAGACTTAAAACATACAGATTTTTTGAAAAATGAATTTCCGATTTCATGTCTTCCCATTGTTGATGATATTGTTATTTCATGCTGTGCACTTTGCAACCTTCTGGACCCCCTTGTGGAATAAAAAAATCAATAATATATAGATACTATCTTATTAGCACATGTATTACATTTCATATTAAAGTTCAACTCCTGCTGAATGTAATTTCATATTGAATAAATATCAATCATTTGATTCATTTCTGGCAATGATTTTCATTAATCTTTGCCTTATAATATTTTCTGATTTCTTGCATTAAATGAGACTTTCTATCTTCACTACTTGTACTGCACTCTCCCCACCCTCCACCCCCTCCCCTCCCCTTAGTAACCACTTGCATATCAGTAACCACTTGCATATCAATATAACAGTACTTGTTACATATATCTAACTTGCATGGTGTATAGACATACAACTAGCTTACAACCCTGTCTTTCATTTAGCCAGCTTGTATGGATTTACCATAAGCAACCATTTTGCATAAGATTTACGCAATTTAACAATTTGCATAGAAAATTCTACCAAACTTGCACAGATGTGTAAAGCTTTTCTATTTTCCATACTTTGCAGTTTTCTATATCATTTGCACTTCAAAAATGCAGATCTGTTGGGTCATTATTTCAAGGTTGCATGTAAATTACAAATTGGTAAAGAATCATGATTTTTCAATTACCATTTTGTTTTAAAATTGGGATTAAATTATCAATTTTTTTGACATACCTGGTCGACAGCTGTAACTGGCATAATGTCAGTCCAGTAGTAGGCTGGCAATGGCAGATGGGTGTTTCCAGCTTTGCCCTAGCCAATGTCTTGTTGCAGTTTGTCGGCTATCTAAAATCAAAATAAAATTATTGGGTCGGGAATATTTGTGTAAGAGATAATTAACAAACTTTTTATGATGGCTATTATTTGCTATTTTAAGTTTTAAAATTTACATTGATGTAAATTATCAGTTTTTTTGGACATACCTGGTCGACAGCTGTAACTGGCAGAAAGTCAGTCCAGTAGCAGATTGGCAATGGTAGATGGGCATTTCCGGCTTTGCCCTAGGCCACTGTTTAGTTACAGTTTGTCGGCTATCTAAAAGCAAAATAAAATTATTGGTTCGGGAATATTTGTGTAAGAGATAATTGACAAACTTTTAATGATGGCTATTATTTGCCATTTTAAGTTTTAAAAGTTACATTGATTTAAATTATCAGTTTTTTGGACATACCTGGTCAACAGCTGTAACTGGCAGAAAGTCAGTCCAGTAGCAGATTGGCAATGGTAGATGGGCATTTGCCCTAGGCCACTGTCTAGTTACAGTTTGTTGGCTGTCATTAATAAATACAGTGATGTCTTGTGGAAAACTACAATAAAATATTGATTTGTGTTTACATGCAACCAACGACTTCTTTAAAGAACTCTAAGACTTACAAAGTGCTCCCTTTGTCAAGGTCATAAAGTCAAGGTTATACATTGATTAAAGCATTAACTTTATGTGTATGAAAGGTCTCTGTTAAAACAAACTGAACAAAGTTGTCCCTTTGTCAAGGTCATGTAGTCAAGGTCATATATTAAAGTTTAAGGTAAGGTCATCTTAACAAATAAATTGTACAGTTATCCCTTTGTCAAGGTCATGAAGTCAAGGTCATATATGACATCATGAATTTTAAGTGTATGGGCATGGTGGAAAGGTCATCTTTAAAAAAAAAATATTTGCCCTCTTTTCTAAAGGAACTTTTTTTTTTAAAATTCTGTTTTTTTAACCCAATGTTTTAACTTCATATTTGGAAGTGTTTTTAGAACAAATTTTCCAAATAATTTATATACTTAACTTAAGTTACCTACCCATTTTCTTAATGCTAAGTTTGAGGAGGGCAAACATTTTTTTAAGAGGACCTAAAACAAGCATCTTTCCAGTATATTGATTTGATTAAGACTTTGAACATTTGCCACCTTTCACCTTTGACAGTTAGCATTGCTGCTTTATATAAAAGCAATAACAAACTGTACATTTTTTTTTGCTTGCTTATGAATACAGTGGATGCGCTTTGGTTCCTAGTCAATTTGTCCGGATATGTGAAGCGTCCGGATACCTGAATCACCAGTTAAACAAGACAAAATAACATTTAAAAATTCCGTTCCGATGAAAAATCGTCCGGATAGTGAAGCATCCGGATATCTGGCATCCGGATATCCGAAGGTCCACTGTATTAAACTATGTAGCTTGTAAAACCAGCTTTGATTGGTTATAAAATCGGGTGTGAATTTTCGTACAACCAACTTGAGCTGGGGTTTAATAACATGATGTCACAATGCATAGTTTTTCTATGATAAAAAGCAAATAACATGACATCACGATGCATTGCATGACGTAGTACCTTGTTTGCAAAGGAATTATTTGGTACATAAGAAATAATTTCCATATCCAGAGGCCTGTTTAACAGAGTGAGTGCTGCAAACATTCCAATTGGAGGTAAAAGGAAATTTTGTGAGCACTCGTGAGTGTTCGTTGTGTTGAACAGGCCTCAGGTCCACTCGTAAACCTCCTTACCTGGCTACGTTGTTATAGATGGTCATGGTGGTCTCCCTTAGACAGATGGCCAATCTCTCGGGTAGCTGGTCACTCTTCTCTGATGTCTCAATAGTGGCGTTAAACAGCTGTTAACAAGCAAAAAATAGGGGTTCCTACATGAAAGCTTACTTATAACAAATATCAATTCATCCTACATAAATAAATGATATGACATTATTTATTTCCCATGGATTAGAACAAAATATAGTATTTGATCCAAATGCACTTTTTCTTAGCAATTTAGCTTTCCACATATTGCTAATTTTTTTTTAGCAGTCATTTTTACATCAGGACTCTGCTCCAGTTGCTCCCAGTGACTTCATTATAACTGAGTTTTACTGTACCTGTTTGAAATACTATAACCAAACCTCTTGTGTATATAGATAGCTTCTCCCATACTGGCCACCACGAATATCATGTAAATAATAATCATGAATGTTTTCTAATCCGAGCGGTACTTCATAAATATTACTGTTTAATTCTTCTCCTATGTATACCTTTGTATTTACGGCTCTTGGCTCTCTGATACTGGTGACTCTCTCAATGTTAACTTGCTAAAAACAATAGTAAGATTTTAGCTATAATTTTGATGCATTGTAAAAAATATTCAATCAACATTAATATTTTATTTCCAAAATGATATGATTATACATGTTTTTATAAAACATCAATTTACAAAAAATTGAATATATCAATTATTTTGCAGTAAAAATTTCACATGATGCTATTCCCTTGCCTTGAAATTTTCACCCTGTTATTCATATCACCATTTTGCCAAATTTCAATATATTGTTTTGGGGGAGAAAACTCTGTCAGTGTTGACATTTTCCAATTTCAAAACAATGCTAAAAGGGTCAGAAAAAGCTCAATGTTCTGAGTGCCGTATTTATTAAATACAACATTAAAGAATAGAACAGTATTGATGGCTCCATTTAATTACCTTGGATTCATTAAGAATGCTTTTGAGCGTCCTCGATTATCCAGAAAAAATTGCGACTCATAACAGCATTTAAGTACTATCCTCGATGGCGTTTATATAAATTTCAGAGTTGATCTTGACGAGTAACTGGTTGTGCATAGTTATTTACAGTTGTTCTCTCTAAACCACATCACTAGCGGCGGTTTATTTTGCTGACTTTTCTCAATTTATCAGGGTAGTTATTTATCCGAATATGCCATTATGATGCATTCATTATTAGTATGGTGACTTATCAACAGGGTAATTAAACAGTATGGTAATTCATCACTTGGTAAATTCTGAGAGTATGGTACATATTTTTCATTTTGGCTAATTCTGACAACATTGCAATGACATTAAAATATACTCTAGATTACTAAATCTCAAAAAAAGTTAAAGTGTAAGTATATTGTGAAACTATAGCATAAAAAATTTATAAAATACATAGTAGAATATAGAGAAAATAGTATTCAATTAAAAAATACTTTTAAAATTTTCAAAAACAAAACCCTATATAAATTTGAAGTGAATATTTGCATTAAGACAATAGATTTTACCTGAGGAGCTGATCTTCCAGACCAGACAGAGTGACGGTGAAGTTGATGATGGTGACCTTGATACAGACTTCTGGCAGGTAGTGGGGGTTAGCCATCTTAGACGTCATGAAGAATCGGAAGTTACGATCGTAGTCGATATCGCTGTCTCCTAATCGGATCAACAGACGACCTCCCTATTAACAAAGACAATAACATAAAATCAGCATATTGTTGAATTAACCAACAGAAAATTAATCAATCTAAACTCTCATAATTGTTATGTCAGATTCATAATTAGACTAAGCAGCTGGCATAACTTCCATAATGTTTAAGTCTTTTTCAACAGAATTAAGGAAAAAAAAAAAAAACTTGTGTGAACAAGTAAAAATTGGACGCATAAAGAAATTAAACCAGATATGAAAAAAGACATCATTTATAAACAAAACAATACAATCCAGCAACCAAGCTATTTTCTTCTAATTATGGGTCACCCCTACTGTTACTTACAGACATGAAGGTTTGTTTGAGGAGGACCGGCTCCAGGGCAGGGTCCAGGGATTCCCCGATGTCCTCACACAGTACCGGCATCCCGATACGGATACAGTTCTCCAACGTACGCAGGAAGTTACCGTCCGTCAGCTTAATGATCTTCAGACCGTTCTTAGCCTCCTTGTTCCTGATCCATCTGTTGGCCTGGAGGGGGAGAATATCATGTTATTATAATGTGGAAAAATTGGAACTTTTCTTCAAAACATTCGACAACATCATTTAATTTAAAAAAAAAAAAAAAAAAAAAAAATCAATATTCTTTCATAAAAAAAGAATTATTCATTGTATATCCCTTTTTATGACAATTTTACTTTTCATTAATTATGTGAGACTTTGTCTATCTGCTCCAGGAAATTGAAATTGAAAATTTACATGATTTATCTTCAAAGATTATATAGAACAACAAGAGGCCCATGGGCCACATCGCTCACCTGAGTAACTTGGGTGATGCAGTTCTTTACCAGATTTCCCCTCTTGCTGTACCTATCGTGCCCCCTATCCCCTTCCCTTTTATGATTTTAACAATTTATTATCTACACTACCCAAGGATGCTTCCACATAAGTTTCAGCTTTCCTGGCCCAGTGGTTCTTGAGAAGAAGATTTCTAAAGATTTGTTCTATATATTTCATGGAAAACTTGGATTAGGGTGGCCCCGGCCACCCCCGGGGGTCATGTTTTAACATAGAAATATATAGGACTATTCTTTAAAAATCTTCCACATAAGAATCAGCACAGGCCCAGTGGTTCTTGAGAAGAAGATTTTTAAAGATTTGTTCTATATATTTCTATGGAAAACTTGGATTCCCTATTGTGGCCCCGCCCTACCCCCGGGGGTCATGATTTTAACAATTTAATATATATACCCAAAATTCTTCCAAAAGTCTTCTTCTCAAGAATAGCCAAGCCAGAAGAAGATATTTATAAAGATTTGGTAGTGTATATATTTGTTCAAAACATGACCCCCTATTGTGGCCCCGCCACTACCCCCAAGGTTTTACATAGATTATATAACAATTCTTTAAAAATCTTCTTCTCAAAAATAGCATAGCCATAATTAATCATATTTATATGGAAGCAGTGGTTCAGGTAGAAGAAGATTTTTAAAGATTTGTTCTAATATTTCTATGGAAATTTGGATTCTAGTGGCCCCGCCACAATGGCCGACTTAAGTTTTACATAGGAATATATAGAAAAATTCTTTAAAATCTTCTTCTCAAGAATAGCAAAGCCAAGATTAGTCATATTTATATGGAAGCATCCTCAGGTAGTGTAGATTCAAGTTTGTTCAAATCATGACCCCCGGGGGTAGGGCGGGGCCACAATGGCCAACCAAAGTTTTACATAGAAATATATAGGAAAATTCTTTAAAAATCTTCTTCTCAAGAATAGCAAAGCCATGTGGTCATGGAAGAAGATTTTAAAGATTTTTAATATTTCAATAATAAACCAATTTCTACTTTTTCCTAGCGACAGTGCTCAGGTGGTCATGATTTTAACAATTTTATTATATCAGTTAATGAGAAACAGCTTCTAATCCAGTGGTTCTATGTTTGAAATGTTCAATAGTCTCCCAAATCATATTTTTTAGTCATCTGAATTAGGAACTTGGGCTTGCAAGATTTTGTTCTTAATCCTCTTCATTTGTAACAATGTTACCAAACTACATTTTACATAAAATCTCTTTGTTCCCCTACGTGTGAGATTGAGAATTTTGTTCTCATCAGAATTACCATAATTTTAAAAGTTAAAATATTAGTGAACTTCATCTGTACCATGCATAATTGCCTTAAGGGACATACTGACTCTCTTATAAGAGAGATAACTTTCCAAGCAAAAAAAAAAAAAAAAAAAAAATTTAAATACAGTTCTGTTATAAATTAACAAGTTTAATCTTCATAAGCAGTTCTTTTCTTATATATTTTGAGATTTGAACTTGTGCAAATAAAAATTTGCAAAGTAGCATCACCCACATTATGGCCATTAAAAAAAAAAGAAAACGTGATTTTTGAATGATGAGGCAATTCATAAAGTCATAATGCATTGAAGTCCATAAAATTACCCCAAATTTTAGTAGAATCATTCACCGGATTTAAGTTATATTTACTGCCATGTTGCCATGTTGACTAAAATTTTGCAGTTTCAAATTTTCAGAATTCATAGAGCCAAAAAGACCCTATATGGCCCTTGGTCTTTCTTAAAATATATGTACTGGGGTAATTGATTTTTTGTTGAGGAATTTTAATATTTCAAGATTTGGCTGAAATGACCTTTCAAGCAATATGAACTTTAAAATATTTTAAATTGAAACCCAAATATTATGTTTTTAGCAGAGATTTAATTTGAAATTTTTCTATGTAATATTGATCACTAAAAATACGACACTATACATTCATAGCTTCCAGAGTCCCTTTTGAATCTCTTTGAATACTGGCTTTAGGAACAAATATTTCATACCACTGTTAAAAATATTTAAATATTTAAAGCCATTTGAAGTAGAACTGAAATGTTTTGAATGCACTGAATATCACTATGTCTGTTGCATTTAATATTGATTACAAAGTACCGAATTGTATAAGGTTTAAAAGAAAAAAAAGGCTAAAGTTGGTGAATAAACAGGGGTATAGAGAAAATTCCTGTGCGAAAAAATCAATAGCACTGGAGAAAAACTAATGGTACTTATAGATATGCAGGGTAATATTGTATATAGTGTATCGGTGAAGTTTCAGTATAAAGAACATGATGTTCATGGAAGGTGGTAGAAAATTATCCATCAGTATATGTAACAATAATTCCAGCGTTCTTGTGTTAATCCTGTCCCGGCTCTGTTGACTGTTTGCATTGGGAGGGGAGAGTAAGGACTTCCTTCCGCGGGCAATTACTGAAGAGTAAGCTTTTTATTGGATGGATACCCAGGCATGGGCCCCATTTATAACTTTGTTTGCCTCTTCAGTTTAAACAGGCTATGATTTAGTGCGGAATATTGGCTGATATGAACTGTTTTTTTCTTATCTGAGCTGGCCAAATTGATTTTTATGTTTAGGGTCGTTTTGTCGCACATGGTTTCCACTGGCACAGAGAAACCTTTTGCAGATAAGAAAAATTTTTGCCAGTTAACTGTGAGTGTGATAAGAATTTAAATGTGTGACTAACTTAGTTTTTTTTTTACTCATGAAAGTTTTTGAGAAATTTGATCGAAGTTTTTCTTCTTCATATCATGAAATTTGATGCTTTAATTTAAACACATTTATTGAATATGATCCTCATTATTGAAGTGCACCCTGTAGTTTTGCTCCAGTTTTGAAGAATCCTTTCTAAAAAAAATTCTGGCATGCAGATTTTAAAGCAAATATAAAATTTATTTATGAAAATTCTTTCCTTAGTCTCTTTTAATTGGAGGAATATGGAGGTTAAGGATATGAATTGAATCAATAAACCAACACTTTGGGTGTCCACATCCTTAAAGCATGGAAAATTTTTCTTTGAAAAAAAAAGCCAAATCCTGTATCTCAGGGTTATTAATGTGCTGAAATACCCAGGGATAGTACAGGGGGATTTTGGGTAACAATATTTCTGTCGAGGCTGGATTTTTTTTTAATGGCGAAATGCCTTTGTTGTGATGGTTTGGAGTAGAGACGCTATCAAACAGGGTTATCTGGAAAATGACCAAATATGGAATGGTTTACAGGTGTGACAGATATTGCTGTTTGTCTTTGTAGACCATGCCACGGAGCTCAGGATTGCACAGGAGAAGAACGCAGAATGTCTGAACACCATATCAACCTTAAAGACTGAGGTAGGATTTAGTCAAATAATTTTGAATTGTTTGAGTGCATTTTCTGGAAGAAAAAAAAAGGAGGTGACATGGGCTTTATCATGAAGGTTAACAAATATCTTGTGCAAGGTTTTGGAAAACGGCCTTAAATTTGGTGTGCTAGCCCAAATGAGAAAATGTTTCACAAAGATTTGCTAAAATTGACTCTACAGCTTCGATTTTATTTATATTTAATTTTATATTTCTAAATAAACTTCACCGTCAAAGGATAAAGATTTACCTGCATCCAAAATTCTTGCATCGTATTGCAAAATCAGTAAAATTAAGGACAAGGCCAAAATCTAGTTATATATATATATACAGTTAATTCTCGATAAACCGCCACCTTTTGTAATTTCGAAATCATGGCGGTATAACGAATTTGGCGATGAATCGAACTTCCCATCTTTTAGAAAACAAGACGTAGAGTAACCGTTCTTAGAAATACCATTTAGCATTTCTATTCTTATCATTAAATGTACATGTATATAAAAACATATTTCTGATTGAAAATACTTCGTTATTTTTTTAATGTACAATTTCGCTAAAACAAAATGTGCAGTTACGAATTAAAGACAAGTACATATATATGCATGTGAATCTGCACGTCTGATATTGAAAAAAAAAAACATGCCGGGTCGTCGTCGCAATATATTGCCAATAGTACGTAAAATGAATTCTTGAATAAATTCATTGTTTATGGCATCATTGTTCATGAAACTTTCACAATTTATACCGTATAATTATTTTTTCAGCAAACTTTGCATTTCTTAAAGCAGAGATCATCAAAGTAATATATCGTTATCGGCGTACTTTAACAACGACCGCTTTCATTGCGAAGCCGTGACTTAATGATTTTTATTAAGCAGAAAACAGAATTATTATAACAGTTCATGTTAAAATTATTGTTTATTTAATTCTTGTTTAATTTCTTAATTGCATGTACCTTGTCTGCCTTTGCATGCTTTACAACAGGGATAGCGTCAACCAATAAGCCGCGCTTCGCCGAACACATGCACCTGTGGCGGTATATCGAGATAAGTGACACTTAAAAATGGACGTTTGTTGTGAAAACAGGGTGGCGGATGGCGGTATGCGAATTTGGCGCTATAAAGAGAATTTTATATAGCAGGAAAAATGTTCTTGGGAAATCATGGCGGTATTGCCAAAATGGCGATGAATCGAATGGCGATAATTCGAGAATTGACTGTATATATATATATATATATATATATATATATATATATATATATATATATATATATATATATATATATATATATATATATGATAGTTTATGCTTTCCACTGAAAATTTGAATTTTTAAATCTGCCAAATTGAAACTACACTAATACTCATTCTGATTCATTTACCATGATATTGAAATGTTGTTCATCTATGCATTGAATGATACATCTACTAAGCTATTACGGAATGACTCTCCTTTTTTATTTTTTAGCTTACCTGAGCCGAAGGCTCAAGTGAGCTTTTCTGATCACATTTTGTCCGTCGTCCGTCCGTCTGTCTGTCTAGCTGTCCGTCCGTCTGTCCGTCTGTAAACTTTTCACATTTTCGACTTCTTCTAAAGAACCACTGGGCCAATTTTGACCAAACTTGGTACAAAGCATTCTTGGGTGAAGGGAAATTTAAATTGTTAAAATGAGGGGACATATCCCCTCGCAAGGGGAGATAATCAAGAAAAGACAAAAATAGGGTTGGGTCATTAAAAAATCTTCTTCTCAAGAACCACTGGGCCAGAAAAGCTGAATCTTATGTGGAAGCATCCTGGTATAGTGTAGATTCTAAATTGTTCAAATAATGACCCCCGGGGGAAGGGTGGGGCCACAATGGGGAATCAAAGTTTTATATAGAAATATATAGGAAAAATCTTTGAAAATCTTCTTCTCAAGAACCACTGGGCCAGAAAAGCTGAAACTTATGTGGAAGCATCCTGGTGTAGTGTAGATTCTAAATTGTTCAAATCATGACCCCCGGGGGAAGGGCGGGGCCACAATGGGGAATCAAAGTTTTACATAGAAATATATAGGAAAAATCTTTGAAAATCTTCTTCTCAAGAACCACTGGGCCAGAAAAGCTGAAACTTATTTGGAAGCATCTTGGTATAATGTAGATTCTAAATTGTTCAAATAATGACCCCCGGGGGAAGGGCGGGGCCACAATGGGGAATCAAAGTTTTATATAGAAATATATAGGAAAAATCTTTGAAAATCTTCTTCTCAAGAACCACTGGGCCAAAAAAAGTGAAGCTTATGTGGAAGCATTCTTAGGTAGTGTAGATTCTAAATTGTAGGGATTATGACCACCGGGGCAAGGGCGGGGCCGTTATAGGGAATCAAAGTTTTACATGGAAATATATAGGAAAAATCTTTGAAAATCTTCTTCTCAGGAACCACTGGGCCAAAAAAGCTGAAACATATGTGCCCATGGAAGGATCATGGGGTAGTGTAGATTTCAAAATGTCTAAATTATGATCAGTGGGGTAGGGTGGGGATGCATTATGTATAACAAGGGGGAAATCTGGTAAAGAACAGAATGGTCAAAGCTTCTCAGGTGAGCGATACGGCCCATGGGCCTCTTGTTATCGATAATATAAAAATGTATCATTTATAAAATTTTATAGCTTTAACTTTAGCAAAAAGAATATATATGTCCGATCTGGGACACTAATCATAATACGACACTCTCTATAGAGTTATGTCCCTTTCTAGTACGTAAGTTATAGATTTAAAATACTTATGATCTTTATGTTTACCTGATTTATTTTTTCATCTGAACAATAATTGCCAATGTAACTTTCAATTTAAGAAACTTTGGACGAAAAAGAAATTTTTGAAAGTTTTATAGAGAAAAATGACAATTTATAGATCATTGATTTAAATTATAGTAAATAATCAAAGAGGTCTCTTTAGAACTGTTGGTATATAATGAAAATAATGTGTTCGTTATAGTATATATCATCAGTGAACTTGTTTTAATGTTATCCTAGAGATCACAATCTCACTTAATAAATCGTTCGTGGATGAGCATATTGAAGATATAGATGGAATGAAAAAATAAGAAAACTGAACGTTAAAGATATACCACATGTAAATTCTGTGTGAAAAGTATACACATTTAATTAACTTTCCTACCAATAATCTTGTATTCAAAGTGTACAAACAGTGCATTTCAGATAGATGAAGAACTTGTGAAATAAACTAAAAAAGAGTTACTTGCATTGTTGTTTAACATCAAGTATCTCAGGTTTTTTTTTTATTATTATTTTTTTTTATAAATAT